AAACCACCAAGCTCATCGATAGCCAAGCACTTGTTGATGACGCAACACCTCGTGGATCGCGAGAAAGCATTTCGAGTGATTTTTACCAAAGATAACGCTAGAATGCTCAAGATAGCCGAGGCGATTGCAATCAACCGATGGAAACCAAATCTGTGTCAACAAAAATACTTGTGCATCACCTTGGCTTTGCCTTGGTGACACCTCCCCCTCATTTATAAGTGTTTATTTTGTAATTCATTCCCAAACCATATATAAATATTGTAGTTGTCTGCAGTAGGCACCAGTTGAGATGCAGCGAAGTCGTCCAGGACATAAATCGTGCAATGTTGCTATACTGGCTTCTCTTTTCTAATAAGTTATTATTTAAAGTATTTTTTCACTGATCACCTACCGCACAATTCAAGCTGAATGTTTCCGAAAGCTATGGTATGTGTGAATCGACTCTTGTAACTGAAGTTTCATAACTGAGAAAACATCGAATAATGGCTTTGTTTAAACAACTGGACAGGAGAGTTCCGGTTGAATTGTAGGCATGACTAATGGTTTGCCTTCCCCGAGGAGGACATTTTGATTCAGTCGTCCATCAGTTTAATAGGCTAAGTAGTCTCTCGATTTATTCAACCGAACTAGGGCAGTGATGGTTAGCAGTATATATGCATTTGCACCCTAGATTCATAGTAAGTCTAGTCTTGAATGGTTTATGAGGAAACTCAGAACTTGCTGCCGTAATAACTCGATCTAATCAGGGTTACCTATTGTTCATCGATGGGCGCGGTTTTGGCGTGCAAACCGCTGTTTGAATTCGGCCCTCGTTTTCACCACCTTGTCCGTCTACTACATTTCAGGTCAGCCTCTTGGAGAAACGAGTTCATTGGCTCACGAAAGAAAGTCGAGGATATTTTGGTTGTATCGTGGAGCCACACGTGGTCATTGTGGTGGATTTGTCCAAACACAATGCCGTGTATTTGGTTCACATTCAGTACTGTATTCGTCATGTGCTCGAACAACAAATAGCCCAACAACAAGTCACATTCAATCTGATTGCTATTGGTTCCACTGTGCGTGCATTTCGACCGCACCGAGTCCCGGTCAGTGCGGTCAATTTGCAAGCCGCGTGGGATTGGTTTCGCGAGCAATCATGCACGGGGACGCGAAATGTTCTGGCCGGTCTGAGGTAACTGCACAGTCGATATGTTGGTTGGACGGCTTCATGTACGAAAAAGATGCACACACCCATGTCGGTATCTGCCCAAATCAGATATTATGCTCCATTCCAGGCTTGATTGATATACATTTATCTTGTTTGAATATCTCAATATAGTTTGTGCAGCTTCATGCAAGCAGATTTGCTGTCGTCCGGTTCAATACTACGCTAAACCTACCGGGGCTACTCCACTCCAAGTTCCTCGGGGCTTAGGTTGCCGGTTACCATCACTGAACAGCAGGTCTTCGTAGCTATGAGGTCCGTCTATTGTTCATCACAAACTGGTTTGTAATTAAAAGAAATATTCAGCTAGTGTTTTTTTCACCATAAAGTGTGTAAACAAGCCGGGTACTTATGTTATCTCTAATCATCTCTACCTGTTTTGTTATCATCGGTGCTGACAAGCACATTGGTCAGACTCGGAAACTTGACTGTCAAAGTCAAAATCAGTTTGATTATGAGAAATACTTACAAGTGGTTGCTTTTCTAGTCCCATAGGGTTTGGCATAGATGAATCGATTCACGGTTCATACAAAGTTGAAGAATGTCACAATTTATCCTTGTTTCGTGCACTGCTAAGAATGTTGAATTTTAGGATTTGTCAAAGCTTCATCTAGTTTATGCTTGAAGGAATCATTTATGGGCCCCGAAACTTCTTTTAGTAGCAGAGAATACCAAGTAGTGCACACTCTGAGGCCGAATGAATGACACCGGTATTCTGGTTGGCATTTTTGGCGCATTAATTTGAATGAGTGAGCGACAAGGCAAAGAGTGACCGACATGCGCGATCTGGGTTAGGCATCAAATCCCCTCGCATGCGTCGATACTGTATGGAGTACAACTGC